GACTGTAATTGAGCATTGGCGCAACGCCGTAGGGTTTATAAAACTTTACATCTATATAATTTGAGAATGCATTTAGTTTGTAAATTCAAACAAATTTTTTCGCACATTTTTGTGATAATTTGAGAATGCGTTAAAATTGTTAATTCAAACAAACGTTTTGGCTAATCTAGAAATTTTCGCCAATCTAGGATTTTGACTGGTTATTGTGATGAAGGAACATGCAAGATTTTCGACCTTCTGATTATAAGAAAGAAAAACTTGCTAGGTTGAGACGGTGATAAATGCGTAGAATTAAGGTATCTGACGTCAGCCAGTCGTCACTGGAGACTTTTTTTTAACTTTCCGTAGCTGTAATTTCTGTGCGAATGTTACATATGGTTCGTTTCAAACTCATTATTTTCACATTTGGTTGCTTATGGTGATGGCCTTCGTTTGTTACAAGCTAGGCTTCGCTTCTATAATTAACTATCTAAAGCAGTCTCCCTGGCAATACAGATTGCGAACGCCGCTTGCGTACTCGGAACAATAAATGACAACATAACTTTCGACGAAATTTTTTATTTGTAACACTTGTATATTATATTTTCTCGTGTCGAGTTGCGTGTTCTTATTGAAGAAACGTCACACGTATCGATTTTAATTGAAAAGGACTTAAACAATTGTCATCCTTTTTTTTATCATTATCACCTCCATATCTAGAAACTTCCAAGGATTTTGACTGGAATACGTGATGAAGGGACTCATGACTGTAATCTCGGTTACTATGATACTTTTGACCTTCTGATTACCATATAGAAAAAAAGAGAAAAAAAAATCTAACCAATGAATTTTAACCAACTTTATTATTTACACTTTGCTATACTGATGCCTCGGCTTTTATTGTATAGTAATTCAGGTGTTCTTTCTTCTTCTTAGAGTGGACGTCATATTATGTTTTTAAGGAACGAATACAAAATGGCTGCTACTGTACTTTCACGGAAATTTTAAATTTCAGATCGGACAAATAGTTAACTCGAAGAAGCACAATGGCCGGTAGGTTTAATTCACCTTTTATTTGCTCCCGAAAGCTTATCTCAAACTTAATGTGCCGAAAAACTATATATATTTTTCTAAAAAAATTATGTTGATCGTATATCAACTTTTTTTGATGGTTCAGAAGCTGAAAAGCAGAAAAATGGCCGTTTTGAGTTCGGACATTACGACAAGGAAATCTATGAGGCAGTCGCTGATCGCTTTGAAGGATATGACGATTCAATCGCTGTGAATGACAATAAAGATGTAAGTTAAACCTAAAAAAAATTTTTTTTTTTTGATAAAACATTTTTTTAGAAAACACTAGTGATCAATTTTTAAAAACTAATTGGCGGTGTTATTTTTGAGTATCAACATGTTAAATATTGAAAAAAGAACTTAATTGCGTACTAGTGGTTAAGGATTAATTGAATGTAATCTAAAAGTGACAGTCATTTTTTCGTTTACAGGATGAGGATGAAGATGTCTCTACTCCACTTCTCCATCAGAAATCAGGTGGATTCACAGCTCCAGTTGCTCTACTGAACCAATTGCAGAAGCAAGGACAGGTGAGTTTTTGATTTTTTAAACTTTATTTAAGATCAAAAATTATTAAAATAGATACAGGAATGATAGATGGGTCCCAGAAAAAAATATGTGTGAAAGATGGGTCCTGTAATTTTTGTGAACAAATGCGATTATTGTTTTCGATCGTTTAAAGGCCTAAAACGTTCTCAGATACCTATATAAAAATAAGGGACCCAAATATCATCAGGAGTTTTACAATAAAACTTAAATGACGATGATATATCAATTTACTAATGTTATTTACGTTATTTTACATCTATCTATCTATATCTATACTATATTTAAATGCTGGTGACAGCTATCTCCCATGTTCTTCTGTCAAATCTATTATCTATTATATATTTAAATGCGGGCTTCACTATCTCGCCATGTTTAAGCTTTTCAACGTATTTTTTTGCATCTTTAGCAAAAGAATTTTTTCACGTTTAAGCTATATCGTATATTGCAGTGGTTAAGGTTTTTTTTCGATTTTCCCGTTTAAATTCAGTTTTTATTTCATCAAGTTTGTAATTAGCAACCCAATAGCTGGATGTTGTCAGAGTTTTCCCAGGTTTTGCGATTCTGGCCTCCATATATGAATAACCAAATCCTTGTAGTTTTCGAGATATGACGTCTTTTATGATTTTTTCAAAAAAATTTTCAAAACTTAGATTTTAAAAAATTCCAATACGTTGAAGATCTCAGTCCTGTTGTTGGATTTTGTGAGGGTACTCCTAGGGGTTGCGAATCTTGCCTCTAATTATGGCTGCTCAAATCCTTTTAGTTTTCGAGATATGACGTTTTTTTTCGGATTTGAAAAAAAATTCAGAAAACTTAGATATAAAAAAGTTCACAAAGTTTGATATTTCCATCTCGGTGGTGAGGCACTGTCAGGGTACTCTCAGGAGTTGCAATTTTTGCCTCCAAATATGACTGCTCAAATCCTTTTAGTTTTCGAGATATGACGTTTTTTTTCGGATTTGAAAAAAATTCAGAAAACTTAGATATAAAAAAGTTCACAAAATTTGATATTCCCATCTCGGTGGTGAGGCGCTGTCAGGGTACTCTCAGGAGTTGCGATTTTTGCCTCCAAATATGACTGCTCAAATCCTTGTAGTTTTCGAGATATGATGTCTTTTATGATTTTTTCAAAAAAAATTTCAAAACTTAGATTTTAAAAAATTACAATACGTTGAAGATCTCAGTCCTGTTGTTGGATTTTGTGAGGTACTCTTAGGGGTTGCGAATCTTGCCTCTAATTATGGCTGCTCAAATCCTTTTAGTTTTCGAGATATGACGTTTTTTTTCGGATTTGAAAAAAAATTCAGAAAACTTAGATATAAAAAAGTTCACAAAATTTGATATTCCCATCTCGGTGGTGAGGCGCTGTCAGGGTACTCTCAGGAGTTGCGATTTTTGCCTCCAAATATGACTGCTCAAATCCTTGTAATTTTCGAGATGTGACGTTTTTTATGATTTTTTCAAAAAAAATTTCAAAACTTAGATTTTAAAAAATTCCAATACGTTGAAGATCTCAGTCCTGTTGTTGGATTTTGTGAGGGTACTCTTAGGGGTTGCGAATCATGCCTCTAATTATGGCTGCTCAAATCCTTTTAGTTTTCGAGATATGACGTTTTTTTTCGGATTTGAAAAAAAATTCAGAAAACTTAGATATAAAAAAGTTCACAAAATTTGATATTCCCATCTCGGTGGTGAGGCGCTGTCAGGGTACTCTCAGGAGTTGCGATTTTTGCCTCCAAATATGACTGCTCAAATCCTTGTAATTTTCGAGATGTGACGTTTTTTATGATTTTTTCAAAAAAAATTTCAAAACTTAGATTTTAAAAAATTCCAATACGTTGAAGATCTCAGTCCTGTTGTTGGATTTTGTGAGGGTACTCTTAGGGGTTGCGAATCATGCCTCTAATTATGGCTGCTCAAATCCTTTTAGTTTTCGAGATATGACGTTTTTTTTCGGATTTGAAAAAAAATTCAGAAAACTTAGATATAAAAAAGTTCACAAAATTTGATATTCCCATCTCGGTGGTGAAGCGCTCTCAGGGTACTTTCAGGAGTTGCAATTTTTGCCTCCAAATATGACTGCTCAAATCCTTGTAGTTTTCGAGATGTGACGTTTTTTATGATTTTCTCCGAAATTTTCAAAAAAAATTAGAAGTTAAAAACTTCCATAACTTTGAAGATATCAATCCTGCTGTCATTGGAACCTTTGAGAGTAGTTTCAGGGGGTTGCGAAACCTCTGAATAGGACTGCTCAAAATCTTGCAGTTTTCCAGATATGACGTTTTTTGTGATTTATTCAAAAAAAATTTACGAAAATTAAATTAATTTTTTTTTTCAAAGTTTAAAATTCCTAACCTGTAATTGGGGGGGCTGTCAGAGTAACCTCAGGGGTTGTAAAATCGGCCTCCAATAAAGAATGCCCAAATCATTTCTTTTTAAGAGATAAGACGATTTTTGTGATTTTTTTTGGAAATTTTCAAAAAAACTCAAATTACAGTAGTTGTGTACTTTCAAAGATTGCGAATATTGCCATCAAAAAAGACTGCTCAAATTTTGGTAGTTTTCGAGATGTGAATTTTTTCTGACTTTAAAAAAAACCTCTGTTAGAAAACTTAAGGTGAAGTTTCTCAAAATTTGAATTTCCCAACGTTGTAGTTGGGTGCTGCAAGAGTGCTCTCAGGAGTTGCAAATCTTGCGTCCAAATGCGACTGCTCAATTGCTTCCAGTGTCCCAGATGTAACGTTTCTTAATTCATTATATACTTAGATATAAAAAATGTCACAAATTTTTATGGTTTTTTCAAAATTTGAATTAAAAAATCGAATGAAAAATTTTTACAAAATTTGAAGTTACTCTCAGGAGTTGCAAATCTTGCGTCCAAATGCGACTGCTTAATTGCTTTCAGTTTCCCAGATGTGAGGTTTCTTAACTCATTTTAAATTTTTTGAAGAACTTATATAAAACTACACAAAATTTTATGGTTCTTCAAAATTTGTAAAAAACAATTGAAAAAAAAACTTAGCAAAATTTTTAATTACGAACCCTGTAATTGGGTGCTGTCAGAGTACACTCAAAGAATAGTTTTTTGAGTTGTTGAAAATTCGAAGCATCGGAGGTGCGGTACACGCTAGTAAAATTTAAAATTGTGATCCGTTAGTTTATTTAGGATTTCGACCCCATGGCTGAATCTCGTGTGCCCAAGATTGCCGACCGTGAGAGCGAGTACCAGATGAAGCGGCGAAAAATGATCATCTCTCCCGAAAGACATGACCCATTTTCAGGTAAGCAACAGTTGAAGAGAAAGATGTGCAAAATCAGCCGGTACCTACCATATAAGTGTAACTTATTTATCGTTTTTGTTCTTCATCCGCGAGACAGAAGGGTTCGGCAATGACGATGCAGCTTAAGGATGACCAGGAGTTAGAGAGACATCGAATTAGCCTTGACTGGGCTCCTTTTTAAGGAAAAGCGTTTCAACATGGCATGCCATGATTGGATATTGTTTTAGCTCTCAAGTTTCCTTCTCAAAGAATAAAGAGTTTATTGGACAACAACCGCACCTGCAGAGACGCAGAGAAAAAAAATCTCGGATATGTCTTTTGGCCTACCTAACTAATCGTTTCGAAATATCGTTATAACTTTATAAGATGCGCTCTAGAATCGGTCGCATTTTAGCTTAAAAAGGTTATGCAGAATTCTTCTTTTCATATAAAACGGGCGGTGTGTTTTTTCGGAGCAAAAAGGTGGTTAAAACTAGCAAAGTGGTAATATATTAGGACTTGTGTTAGTACCTTTTAACCACTCTACTGGCATCTAACCGGTAGAGTTATATTTTACAGGCTGCTCACTTCAACGCCACTAGCTTGATGAGAGGGACCCATCATACCAAGTGTGATCTTGATCTCAAGGTATTGCTGTCAAGCCAACAGCAACAGCATCAATGCGCTCTCTTCGAGTGTTCAGTGTCATTTCCATTTTATAAATGGAAATGACACTATGTGGATTTAAAACACCGAACAATTCTTTCCTGGGATAAAAAAATATCCAATTTATAGAATAGTCAAATACTGTACTTCGGAAAACGCTTACACCTTTTTTCTGATTTCTATGAAGTTTGTCATAGTTTTAAAGGAGGTTTTTAGAAGTTGGATCTCAACTTTTTTCTTTTTGACTTGAACAGATTCATTACACAGGCAAAGCTAAGTTATGTAAAAACTACCTTAACACGATCAAAATCCTTAACAAAGGCTTAATCTGCGTACCTAAAGAATCAGATGATTCCGATAGGAGTTGTACAGATAGAAGATGTAATGCTGATTGTGGATTTCTTTAGGGGGCAAGACGCCAGATGTGAACTCGAGGTCCTTTGCCGATGCGATGAAAGAACAGGAAAACAACCGTGACAGGGTATGAAGCTTTGGTTTCTGTCCTCAAGTTATATTTTGTGGTTTCATTGTAGTTCTGCATTCTGATAATTTGATTTTGTTAGGTGTCCTTGATGCAAAAACTGGCTGCCAAGCAACAAGAAGGAACCCTGAAAGCAGTATCTAATGGAGCTTCAATCTCCGAGGAAAGGAAGCGAAAGCGATGGGATCTGGCTACCAGCGGCGAAGAAGCCGAGACACCCCAGCAGAAAAAGACGGTAAATGATTTCGCCGATGCACAGACACCTCATATGCAACGATGGGACGAGACTCCTGGACGGAGCAAAGGAGCTGATACGCCCGGTGTGACACCATCTGCAAGTACTCGAATGTGGGATGCCACGCCGAGTTATATGACTCCTGGAGCAGCGACGCCATCACAGACTCCAGGAGCTCAGACACCCGGACGGACTCCGGCGGGTGGAGGAGGTGGTGGTCAAACGCCGAGTGCAAGAAGAAACCGATGGGATGAGACTCCAAAGACGGATCGAGAGACACCTGGACATCCTAGTGGATGGGCAGAGACTCCAAGGACAGATCGCGGCGGGGAATCGGGAGCAGTTGAAAGTACTCCGACTCCTGGAGCGTCGAAGAGAAAGAGTCGTTGGGATGAAACTCCCGGAACTGGAGGAGCTACACCCTCCACACCCATTACTCCAGCTGGAACGATGACTCCTGGAGGTGGCGTGACCCCGACGGGATTGGGTGGCATAACACCTGGGTCAATGACACCTAACTCCGCAGCTGGAATGTTTACGCCGTCGGGAGCTACTCCAGTGGGAGCTAAGGCGATGATCATGGCGACCCCAAGTGCTGCAGGGTTGGTAACTCCTGAGCAGATGTACGCACACAGACTGGAAAAGGAAATGGACGATCGAAACCGGGCTTTGTCAGATGCAGAACTGGACTCGATGTTGCCAGAGGGTTACAAAGTGTTGCCACCACCTGCGAATTATGTTCCGATTCAGTCTGTGAACAGACGATTGACAGCAACGCCTACTCCCATTTCTATGCAGAGTGGGGCCACTCCTGTTGGATTCACGATGCAATCTGAGGAACCGACTAAAGTAGGCCTGGAACAGATGCCGGCTGGAAATCTGCCGTTCTTGAAGCCAGATGACGAGCAGTATTTTGGAAAACTCTTGACTGAAGTTGACGAAGAGGCATTGCCGCCTGAAGAGCAGAAAGAACGTCGAATTATGAAGTTGCTGTTGAAGATCAAAAATGGCACGCCGCCAATGCGGAAAAGTGCGTTGCGCCAGATCACAGATAAGGCGAGGGAGTTCGGAGCAGGTCCACTGTTCAACCAGATCTTACCGCTGCTTATGTCGCCTACTCTGGAAGACCAGGAGAGACATCTGTTGGTCAAGGTCATTGATCGAATTCTGTACAAGTTGGACGATCTCGTCAGACCATACGTTCATAAGGTAACGCAACTTCAACATTTTTCATCTGATTTGAAACTTTTAACGATAATAATGATATGGAAGTTATATGACGATTAACTAAAAGATATCCTCCTTGCCTAAAACTTTAGAAAGGTCACTGGTATGCCTTCTGATATTATTGGTTGAATTTTCGTTTTCAGAAGAGTCTATTTCTTTTTTCACCATATAGCTGGTCTATGATTGACTGTAAGTCACAAGTGAAATACATGCATATTGAAGCATATATGAAATTTTATGAAGCTTCGTAGCCAGGGGACGAGTAGTTTTCTCTTCGTAATATTAACTATTGAAATTCGCCTAGATTCTGGTCGTGATCGAGCCCCTCCTCATTGACGAAGACTACTACGCTCGAGTAGAGGGACGCGAAATCATTTCAAACTTGGCAAAGGCCGCTGGCTTAGCCCAGATGATCTCAACTATGCGACCGGATATCGACAATCTGGACGAATACGTCAGAAACACGACTGCTCGTGCATTTGCAGTTGTCGCTTCAGCTCTCGGGATTCCGTCTCTGTTGCCGTTCTTGAAGGCAGTGTGTAAGAGTAAGAAGTCGTGGCAGGCAAGACATACTGGAATTAAGATTGTGCAGCAGATTTCTATTCTGATGGGATGTGCTATTCTGCCGCATTTGAGGAATTTGGTCGAAATCATAGAACATGGTAAATAGCTCTTTTAATCATGTTTCAGACAGCATAATCCCCTTCGTAGTTCTTAACTGTTTTGAAGTGAAATCAAGTAGTTACAGCATACAAAAGATTATGTATTTTATTGCCCTGAAGTTGTACTGTGGTATGGAACACATATTCAAAATGATCATAGAATAATTTTTTTATCATGACTTAAAGGCAGTAAAGCTGTTCAAACGTACAAAAGTTTTTTTTAATTTTAATCAATTTTTTTAATCACTATTGAACTCGAATTTTCAAATTTTCGAACAGCATTCATAAGTTTGCTGCTGCTTATAAAACACGTGAACATAATGAGTCTGCGTAATTCGTAATTGCAGGTCTGGTGGATACTGAGCAGAAAGTGCGTACCATCACAGCCCTGGCTCTAGCGGCACTGGCTGAGGCAGCTACTCCATACGGAATAGAGAGTTTCGACAGTGTGCTCAAACCACTCTGGAAGGGCATCCGACAACACAGAGGAAAGGGACTGGCCGCATTCCTCAAGGCTATCGGGTACAATTTTTTGGTATTTAATCGGGCTAAATTTTAAAATTATTTAATCGCGGTAGGTAAACAAAAGGCGTAGTATGTGAGGCACTTTTTATTATTCGAAATGACATTTAGAAGGAAGCTATTATATGAAGTGTATTTCCACTTGTTGGCGTTTCCAATTGTTGTGTTTTTGTTTCCAATTGAATAAAAGTGTGGAATCTTTCACACTTCACCTATACATCCATGGTATAAACTAATAATAGAGTTCGTATATAGAATACTTGTGTTCTGTGTAGATATCTGATCCCCTTGATGGACGCTGAGAGTGCGAACTACTACACCAGGGAAGTGATGTTGGTGCTGGTCAGGGAGTTCCAGAGTCCGGATGAGGAGATGAAGAAGATAGTGTTGAAGGTGGTGAAGCAGTGCTGTGCCACTGATGGTGTGGAGCCAACTTACATCAGCCAGGAGATCCTTCCACCCTATTTCAAGTACTTCTGGAATCACAGGATGGCAATGGACAAGCGAAACTACAGACAGGTGTGCATAATTAAAAAGATCTTCAAGCTCCTTAAGATCTTCAAAGTCAGGTATTGTGTTTAAAATGTAGAAAAAAAATCACCTTTCCAACTGCCTAAAAGTTTTGGTTTGCAGAATTTTTTTAATTTGCTTCATATGTCCGCGTGTTTTTACGAGTCATGAACGTAGTGAGTACTCTTATATAGGTCTTGGTGATTTTTTGTTTCTTTTTTTAGGAAAAAGTGTCAAATTTTGTTCAGGCTCAAATTTTCTTTTTCGCGTTTGACTTGGATTTTTTTTAAGTTTAGTTCATTTGCTTCGTTAAAAAGAAGGTAAATTCCATTATTGAACAATAAAAATGTAAAAGTCACGAAAAATGTGATCGACTTCTAGTTTCGAGCGTGGAATTTAATTTTCGGATTTCCCAGCCAAATAAAAAAAAATTACTTATTGATCCAGTTTTCTCAAATTGGGTCAGTTTTATCTAAAAGGGTCAATCATAAAGTGTTCTAAAAATTCAAAGAGCTTTAAGGCAATCTATTTGTTTCTTGGGAATTCGAAAAATAAGATTTTTCAAAAAAAAACAGGCCAGTATTTTATTTCTGTTTACTTGCGTTCATTGACTCTTTTCCAACTACCTGTTGGCTATGTTTTTATGTTATAAGAACGATTTTACGTTATAAAACAAAAGTGTTAAACGACAAAACAGTTTTTAAGTGTTATGGTGTTTATGTTGCCTGCAGCTGGTGGACACTACAGTGGAGATAGCGAACAAAGTGGGAAGTCGGGAGATAGTGGCCAAAGTGGTGGATGACCTGAAGGATGAGTCAGAGCAGTACAGGAAGATGGTGATGGAGACTATTGAGAAGATCATGAGCAGCATGGGCGCCACAGAGATAGACAACAGACTAGAGGAACAACTAATCGACGGCATACTCTACGCATTCCAGGTGAGTTAGGACCGAGTTGGTTAACTCATAGAGTAATTTCGGATAGGGTACACCGTCTGCTCGTCACGCTATCTTATTTTCGGCCGGATAGATTCGTGCAACTCCTTAGTCTAATACCGATCCTAATCTTACTCTTATACTATCTAGTCTCAGGTTGTTTAACTAGTCTCTGCTAGGCTCAATAGATCTAGGGTATACTGGTTTATTGCGGTTGCTGAAGTGCTCGGGAGAGTCCAACTAATTTCTAAGTTAAATTCAAATCTCTCTGGTGCTGAAATTACAAGTAACTTCAGCACTTACAAATAAGTGGGTTGTTAGTTAGATGGATCATGATTGGTTAATATTAAATACTTTACATTGGTAAAATATCTAAATTATCCAATCATAAAATGTAGTTTAGATCAGGTTCCACCCATCCGGGTTTTACAGAGTTTTTTAGAATAGTTCTTCTGCAATTCGAAGGATGGATGATGGACGTTGGTGTTTGGCGAACATCTTATTTCTTCTGTTTCCTTTTTGTTAAAGAAGTTCTAGGAAGCTGGAGTTAGAGACATAAGACGTTGTGTCTTCTAGTGACAACGACTAAGTCTTTGCAACAAACTCAAATCTGATTTCAGAATGGTTTGCTATGTCAGGTTTTTTTGTTCTGCGTGGAGAACTTCTTTTGTGTCTGATCTTAGTTTGGGAATGGCGTGGAGATTGTGCGTGGAGGGGATGCCTGGTTACTCGGATCTGTACGTATACTTGAACATCGAGGTGGTCATTGGTCTAGTTCAATGAAGTCCTTTTCTGCGAAGTCAAGTCGTACTCTAAATCCTTTGAGTTGTGATTGTCAGTGGCATATCGATTGTGGTTGGCCATTCTCTCTCGAGCGTAGTGGGGTCGTTTTGTCTTTAGATGTTCGTCCTTGGTGTTGTATTCTGATCTATGTATTGCATAATGTAATTTACATTTTATAAAACATTTATTAGTTTAATATTTTTTTATTATGATTTTAGTTAGTTGTTTTCACAAAAGCTTTTTGTTTTAGTTCGGTTATTTTGAAGAGTTACTCACACTTGAGTAGCTCTTATTAAAAATAGAGGTGTGGTCACAAAGCGTGGATGTAGCGCGGTGGGTTAGGCCGGCTATAGAGCATGCTCAGGACGTCCTTCCTGGTGGGTTAGGCCAGGAGTGGGAGTATGATTTCATGCGGTTTTTGTGAGGGGTCCTGTTATGTGACAACGTTTTATGTTGGGTTTGTTGTGGTTTTTCTTATGTCTTGTTGGTTATGTCCTTTTTCCAAAAAGCAAATTGTTTGTGGTATGGGTTTGTCTTTCGACTTTTTTGTGTTTTATTATTTCTTTCTTAGACTTTATAATAGTCTTCAAAAGAATAAATTATCCAGTTTTAAACTGGGTTAATCCGGTTTGGGTACCGTTGGTTTCCTTTTCTTAGTCATGCTGTTATTCTATGATTTGTGGTATTTAGTAAGCTGCGTTGGTTAGTTTTGTTTAGTATATGATTCCTTTCCAACCGGGTTAAAGGAAAGTTTGAAACATGTTATTATATGTTAGAGTTGTTGAGTGTGAAAACTTGAAACTGAAATTCATTATTTTAAACAATTCTTCGTGGGCGAGCTGTGCGAGTGTGGATAGAATTTCTGTGCGAATGAATGAGAATATCAAAAGGTTAGTACTGCATTTGCATTTTATTAATTTACTGCATAGAATTTGGAAATTTACTGCTAGTTATGGGGGAATTTTAAGTTACAAATTTTCATCATAATTAGATTTACTGCTTGTGGGGAAAATTTTAGAAATGAATTTACTGCATTGGTATTAAATTTATAAATTTATAAGTGTAAGAGATTAATAGAATTGTTGAAATCTGTTTGATGAAATTTGCGATTTTTATTTGTCTTTTGTGGTTTTTGTAGGTGATCGTCGGATGAAGGCTAAAAATCTAAAGAAAACATGGATAAAGTATGGTGAGTTTTTTAATATTTTAATTAGTTAGTAATATTCATTTAATTCATACTTACCTGTTAGTCGTCGGGGAAAAAACCGTGGGGGAAGATGTCGTGAATTAGTTCTGAAGTTGTTAGTAGTTTAGCTAAGATGCGGATGATATTTTTAGTCTGAAGCAGTGGCCAAAGCAATTGAAGTGCCTTAATAGTGGTTAGTTCTTCAGTGCCAACTGCAAACTCATAAGGTGTGTTTTGGATTAGATTATATAATTTGTGATTGAATTTAGTGTTGTGAATGAATTCTAAAATTGGGATTTCTATAGGTTGTACAAACTCGTGCGGGATAAGGAAGGGTCGGGATTCTTCGGCGTTGAAGGTCTTGGTGATGGGACAGAAGATGTACATTTGGGTTATGGGATCATAATTGCGAAGAATACCATGAAGGTTAGTATCTTTAATGCAATATGTGAAATTTAGGAAAAATGGTGAAGTGTATTTGGAATTAATGAATTGAAAGCGATGGTGTGGTTGTCTAGAGGGTGTGTGTAGGTCAAAGTGATTTTGGATGAAGCGATAATAACTATATGTGTGGGTTTGTTTTGTGCGCAACATAATATCGTGTGAGCAGTGAAGATCTCTTTCGTGTGGTGCAAGAAAATGAAAGGTTAGTGAAAATATTTGGAAGCGTTCTATAAAGCTTTCGTATGCTTGTGTGTCTATTAGTGCTTCTGAAATAATGTGATCAAACTTTCGGTCGAAGATGTTTAGTGTAAATATATATGGTGTCTTGATGAAAAATTTCTCGGTAATTTGTGGGTTAGCGAAGCGATCGTCGTCTAAGAATTGATCTTGGTTAGCTCTGATGATGTTGTGATCATAGTATTCGAGTGTATATTCGTTAGCTCTAGGTGCAGTGTGTGTTTTTAGTGATTTTTTATATCCAACGTAAGTAAATTGTCTAGCGGTTAGAGGTGTAGTGAGTCGATATAGCATGTCCGTATTTCGCTCTATATCGATGTGAGTGTTAGATAAAGGTAAGCAAAGAGGGTTAGTGAAATGATAATATGAGGTCCAAGAGAGAGTGGGCATTAAAACGTATTCATCTACAAAGTTGCGTGTTTCGTTAGTGTCATGGGGGGTGTTTAAGGTGTATTGTGGGAATGAGGGTAAGGTGATGGCTAAAAATTCTTTTGTGTTAGTATGCTTGGGGTGGTTGATGTATTCACGGGCTGTTCCTGGTTTTGCTGGGAAAGGATGGTTGGGGAACTTTCTTTTAAAAGTGCGGTAAGCTCTATTAGTGTTGAGTGAAGATTCAGTTGATGTGGATGATGGTGCTAATGATTCAGTATAATTTGAAGAGGGTGTAGGGGTAGGGGGGTTGGATGAATTTATTGTGGAGGAGATTTGGTTTATGGTTGGGGTATTAAGGTGGTAGGGTTGTTGTTGAAGGGTAATAAAATTATCTAGCTCTGGGGAGATTCGGGGGGTGTCTGGAGAATGAGATGATTGGTCAGAATGGTATGAGGAGTAGGTTGGGGTAACTTGGGAAGCATAAGAGGGTGTGGGGGTGATTGGGTCAGGGTTATTGGATAATATCGGTTGAAAAGGGGGTTGAGAAAAATTAGAAGAGTTATGAAAATGATTTGATGGGGATGGTTCTGAGTCGGCAAATTCATCGGGGGTTTCAATATTCGGGTTATTGAGTTGTGAGATGGAATATAAAACTGAGATGTGTGAATTAGTGTCGGAATTCATGCCTGATGTTACATTACTAGATGGAAAATCGGGTGGCGGAAAAGCAAAAAGTGGTATTATTGGGATTGTAGATGTAAGATTGGTTGGGTGGGAATTTGATCGGTGTAGTGATCCAAGTTGGCGGCTCATCGTGGGCTAAAAAAATGATTATTTTGAGACTGAAAAGCGGTGGTATGGGGTTGTTCAATAATTTGTTCGTAAGTATTATCATCTTGTGACTGGTGTGTCATTATATGTTGGATGGGACTTTGTGATGTGGTGAGTCGAAAATTTGGATTATGTGTGATGGCTAAATTTCGAAAATTTCGTGGGACTAGGGATAGTGGATGGTTATTTGGTAGGGGTGGTAATTGTGGTGCCGTTGGCGTTATGTCTACATTGTTATGTTCTTCGTCGTATGTATTTTGTCGTGTTGCTATTTTTGTGTTATATTCTTTTATTTGTGCGTCTAAAAGAATTTTGTTTATAGATGTAGAAAAGATTCCAAAAAATCCTGCAAAGAGTATGCGTGCTACGCTTGCTTGTCTGTTTACTTGTGTGTGTATAGCACATGTGTTGTAGATTCCTTTTAAAAGTGAGAAAAGAAATCCAATAAAGTTAAACATTGCGTATAAAATAGTTAATTTTTCTAAGATGTAGTAGGGCCATCCTAGAAAATCGAGGATCTCATTTTTGAGTGTAACAAAGCTAAAAATGTTAATTGGTGATATATCTTGGGGACGGTATTTTTCACCGTTTAGATATATATAATCTTTAATGTCTTTAAAATATCCGCTATAGTCTTGCGTGTAGATATCGGCAAATCCTGCGGTTTCTGCAAGTTTGCGTAAATTTTGGTCTATTGATTGTCTTTGTATAGTGTCCATTTGTGTTAATAATTCTTGGAATTGCTGTGTTCTAATGTGATGTTGAATATCTGATTTTGAATAGATTCCTATTGATTGTAAGTCTATATTTGGGTTTCGAGCAATAGCGCGAATGCTTTCTAGTGAAAATTTTTTGAGTGATTGCATTAATGTGGGATATGGAGTGAGAAGATAATATTTATTTTCATCAGGGTTTAGTTGTACTACATTGTGGCTGTTTTCTGATCCACATGGGACTGCGGTATCCCAGAAATAGGTTCTTCGTGAAAGTGTATCCGCGAAATGTACTTTATTCTTATAAAAGATAGGGATTCTTTTATAACATCGTTTATCTTCAAAAACGTATAGTGGTGATACTTTTTTAGTACAAGTATAAAACCATAAGATGTTTCCTTCATAGTCTAAAAAATTTGATCTATTTCCAGATAATA